CAACATTCTACCTTAATTTACACATAGTCAAATTATTATAATTATTAGTGGCAACATTTTACAGCGGACCATCATTAATCCCATATGGAAACAACTACAGCGTTTCCGTCGATATTATTCTTAGCAGTCAAAGTACGGTAAACTAAGCATATCCTAATATATGAATTACAGTTCTATTTTTACCTCTAGACTAAATAGTAACAACACCTTACTATATATAGTTATCTGTACTATAGCATAGAATCTACCATTATAGTCCATAGTTGCGAGCTACTAAATACGTCTTAAGATAAATATAGAAAGTTACGCTTCGTATATCTTACTAACATGGCTAAAAGTCTACAATCACAATACTAAATTTCGTTACAGCCATAAATTGAAAAATCAATCGCATCGATAACACGATATTTTAAAAAGGAACAACAGTATATCTAGTATAATTTTGAAATAGAAGTGATTCTTTAAAGTATTTGAGCTTAGACTAACCTCGATACGCCATATTTCTAATCCTGGCGTTTTCCCTGCTCCTTCAAATGCTGAATCACTCATGACTGTCTGGTTGAGTCAATACAAAACTAAAGTGGAGATTGAAGCATAATAGCCGAATATCAATCAACGGGGTAAAACCTATACATATATTCAATCACGCATTCAAGAAAAGCTTTAACTATTTAATCGAATCTTTGTTACTGCAATCATTAATGTAGTACTAATAGCAAATCAGATCTCGAGTTAGCTGTTGTTTTGAAATCAAGTATTCTACTTTGTCCTTAATAAAATTGTCGCCGCCTACTGGATCATGGCTTTTGATAATATAAGTATGATAAGAGCAAATGTCAAAGTGTGTATCATTTAATAATAAATTATAATCCTACGGAATAATATTAGTATACTGTACTGTACAGTAGTAAGCAAATTAGATCTCGCGCAAGATAACATATTGAAGTCTACTATGTTACTGCTTCATAAATAAAATTATTGTCGTAGATTAGATTATGACTTTAGACAATAATAGCATATTGGTAACTATCGAAGTGAATTTCTGTTTGCAGTAAGGTAAATGAATAGTTTATTCTCCTGTGAAATGAAATTTGTATGCCATGTAGTAGGAATGAAATTAGATCTTGAGTGTGGAAAAA